GAAGCAGCTCGCTGGTGCCCAGCCTGATGACGGTGCACCTTTGGGGCGTTATTCCTATTGACAGTGAGACTCTGTGTGCGTGTGTGTGTGTGTGTATGTGTATGTTAAACTTCCTGGTGTTTTTTTACACTCTTTTGCACATAGCTGAGTAGAGTGGAAGTTGTGTGGGAGTGGAGTAAATGGGATTGCATTTTTGTAGGAAAAGGCTTTTCAGATGAGCCGGGTGAATTTTTCCCTGCAGGCTGTGGAACTGCATACTAAAGCAAGGGCTTGTGCTTCCTTCCCCCTCCCCTTTCTTCTTTTTCCTTTTTCTTCTTCTTTTTTTTTTTTTTTTTTTTTTTTTCACCTAGCTAAATGTAGTGCTGGGCCTCTGGAGGCCCATGAACATGTAGAGCTTCCTACTGAGGTTGTCACTTGACTGACAGCAAAAAGCTTCTTGGGAGATGGACGAGCACGAGTAGGTGGACATAGAAAAATGGAGAATGAAAAGATAAAAGTAAAAATAGAACAGAACGTTCATCCAAAATCACAGCCCTTTCTGGGACTGTAATGTATTCAACTTAGAAACGTTGCATTTGTGATTCGGAAAAATGTAAAGTACATGTATGTAAATGTATGTGTGTGAAAGACACTTAATATCCACTCAGAATGCTCATAGCAGAAATGATATTAACTACAGAAATACAGAAATCCGAGACAAACAACATGCCAATGCCAAACTGCATGTGTACTCGTATCTTCCCTTGCTGTTTTAAAGTAAGAGGGAAGCAAATTGTGAATGAGCCTGAAATACAACAATCTTTCAGTCCCTACATTTCAAAACAAATTATAGTTTCTCAGAACCCCCGTGTCTGTGTGCTTGTGTGCCTGCTTGTCTCTGCCATTCAAGTGCTATAAACAGATCTCTAAATAATTCAGCTGGGGTTGACCTCTCTGAAGCAGACAGGATCAAACATTTAACACACTGTCATAATTACTACAGTGTGTGCTTGGAGTGAGTAGAGTTTTGCTAAGGAGCTGAGACAAACAGAAGATCTGAGACAAGTATCAGAGATGTTGGGTGTGCTTTTCTGAGCCGCATTAAATTGACCTTTTAAATGGTGTAAACTTGATTATGTTGCAAACACGATTAGTTCCTATCAAAGCCAAATCACTCCTGATAGCAATTTACAATAACACAAGCCGGCAGGTTGGCAGCAGCAGGTAACAGGCAGTTAAGAAAAATATCACAGATCCAATGGCTGGATTTTGAGGAATAAATTTTGATGCCAGGTTCTTTGTTCTAAGGTGGAGTTACTTGCTGAAGCTGAAGCTTTAGTCCAATATCGATGACATCTGCTAAAACCAAGCTGGGCTTTTACGATCCGTTGAAATGACACAAAGTAAGGGAATTGTGATTATTTTGGCAAGGCTTCTTAAAAAAACCTGAACTTTTATAGGAGCCAAAAGTAGTGGAGTTGGTAGAATTGTGAACATTTTACTTCATGACATTTGCAGGCCCTTTCCACATTGTCTGTGTTTATTTTATGTGAATTCTTTAACAAATTAAAACTGCATTAATGTAATAGAAATATTTTTAAGGTTTCAAAGCATTTAATATTTTTTATAACAACTGACTTTTCTGGCATTGCAACAAAAATAACTTCAGTTAAAAAAGAAGGCATTTTGATGCTCTACCATTCCCATAAAGTTTACCGTGATCTGCCTGCATCAAAGATGTGAAAACTCAGATTGCTTTAATTGAGGGCTGCCTATATTTTTGTGTAAATAATAAAAAAGGAACTAATCCTTTTCTTCCTCCTCATTAGGCCAAGAATTCTTGTAGATAATTAAAGTCAGGAAGTACAAGTTTTAACAATTGCATTTACTGTGCTGCACTGTTTTCTAACTCCCATTATCCAAGCAGCCGCTTAGAAAATTTATTTCCTACGGAAAAATACACCAGCTATCTTTGCAGAGTCACCTTGAAGGTTCTGCCAGCGGGTGCTCCAAAAGAAACCTTTAAGGTGAAGTGAAAGAATCCGAGCCTCAGCCCATAGAAACCTCATTGTAAATACTGTGTTAATCAACCTTTTAAACACTGTATTTAAAATAAAATAATGCATTCTGCCTAGATCTTGATCTGAAATTGAAACAGGTGAAAGCCACTATACTTTGAAGGAAAAAAGAACTAGTGTGTTTATATGTATTCTGTTTTGCAGATATTTGAATTTGGGGAAAAAGTAGGGTGATCTACTGATGCACGACATGCATGTTTCCGGTTGCACAAAATTGTTAGTCGAACTTTAACACGTATTCAATATATATATATATATATACATATATATTAACTAATTGAGCTTCTGCAGGGGCTCTGAGCTAAAACTGAAGGTAGTGGTGGCAATAATTCGTTTTACCCCAGACAGAGGAAAAGTCTTTAGAGAGTTGGGGTGCGAAGACGGCTGCTGGGATGCAGCTGGGATGAACCCGGAATGCTAGCATGCAGACGGATTTGTGTCCTGCGTGGGGCGGCAGAACTGCCTTCCCGGGGGGCGCCGGGGCGATGCCGGGGTGAACGGGGCGATGCAGGCGTGAACAGGGTGCCGCTGCGTACTCCAGCTGGGTTTTGCCCCAGCCGAGGGGACATCGTGCCCAGGCGCAGGGAGTTAGTGGGTGCACCCATGGGTGAAAAGGCTCTTTGAGGGGAGGCTGAGGCACCGCCACCAAGTACCTCGAGTGGAAGCACCCGGCAGGAGAGGGCTTGTCGCGAACTGCGGTTTGTGGAGCTTTTTGGAGGAAAAGCAGCGCAGGCTGTCGCGAACAGCGCAGTCGGTACGGCAGTGCCGAAGCGGAGCCCGCGAGCCGCGGCGGGGCAGAACTCCCGGGTCGGTGTGTGCAGCCTGTCCGTCCCACCTCAGCGCTGCCCGGGGAGCCGGCGCTGGCAGGCAGGCCGCGGGCAAATCCGGACCCTCAGAAACAGCGTTTGGCTCACTAACGCTGCCCGACACACACCGAGGAGAGGTTAGCGGACTTCTAACAACTACCGATTTACCGTAAACGAGCATTTAGGGAGTATTTTCTAAAAGTCCCATGGTCATAGCGCCCAGATGGTCACAGCGCCCAGAGCAAAGCAGGGATGGAGCTGCACACCTCCTGCCAGAGGCGTACCCGCCTTGCCCTGTAGACCGTGGCTGCCACAGCGCTGCCCGGCGCCGGTCTCCACCGACGTGTGGGACGAGGGGGGTCTGTAAGACACTGTGCGGCCTGGCCGGTCTCAGCCTGCAGAGCGAATTGCGCCGATCTCTTTTTGCTAATACCCCACCCCGAGTGCTGCTGTGGTGCATAAAGGCAGTAACGTTTCCACGCTGGCGGTAAGCGGGGGGTTCAGCCTCCGCCGCTGTGCCTGGGGAAGCTCCCCCTGGAGCTGCTGCGCGTCCGCCCAAGCCGCCCTCTCGTCGCCCGGCGCGGCAAGAGGGGACTGCTGCTCGGGCTAGCGGCCTCCGCACCCACCGCACCCCCTGGCCCGGGACACCGGGCACCGAGGCCGCGCTGTTCCCGCTAGGTGGCGCTATTGCTCAACGGTGGCGCAGCGGCGGGAGGCTCCCGGGAGCCGGGACCGCAGCGGGCTGGGAGCGGGGAAGGTGCGTGTGTGCGGCTCCCCGCGCAGCACCAGGCAGAGCTCGCAGGCTGCTCCTAACCCTTTATTTTTGCCTTTTTATCCCCCATTTTCAGTCACGTTTTTGTTCTCGGACACTGTCAACGTTAAAGACCGGCCGCGTGGCCCACTCACCCCACCGGGACCGCGGCCATTCACTGCGCTCCGCCAGCTCGGGGCAGCGCATACCCGCTCCGCGCCGCCGAGGGGCAGAGGCGGGCCGGGGCGGGGCGGGCGGCGCGGAGCGGGCGGCGATTGGCTGCGGCCCGTGACGGGCAGGCGGAGCCCCGCCCCCTTGGCAATGTCTACGGCCCGCCGCGCGCCCCATGTAGGCAGTTATTCCGCTGGGATAGAGCTGCCGGAGCGGCGGCGGCATGGCCGGGGTCCCGTTCTGCGCCCTCCTCCCGCTCCTTGTCGGCGTCTGCGGCGCCGTCACCGGCTCCCGGGTCTATCCCGCCAACGAAGGTGAGGCGCTGTGCGCGTCCCGCGGCCGGGCTCGCGCTCCCTCAGCGGGGCGCCGAGGAGAAAGTTTCGGGCGAGGGTCCTTGCATCCCCCCCGCCGCTCCCCGGGCAGCCGGGACCGCTCTGCCCCGGCCGGTACCCGGGCGTCCGGCAGCCGCTAACTTGCCCCGGCAGCGTTCCAGGGGTCCCTCGGCGGCGGCACAGGTGTCGCGGGGCAGAGCGGTCCAGCCGCGCTGCCGCCGGTCCCCTCAGCTGGGCCGGACAGCAGTGCTCCCGCGAGCGGCGGCGCCGCCGCGCTGAGCTCCCTGGACCGGGAGGGCCGTTCATGGAAACCGGTTCTCCCGGGAGCTCTCGGCTGCTCCGCGCCGTTCCCCGGGGCTGTGCTGCAGCCCGTTCCTCGGGGTAAGCCCGTGGCGCAGCCGGGCGGGCGGGGGGCGCCGCTCCTGTCTGGGAGCCCCCCCGTGAGGCATCTTGGTGCCCGGTGTCCCGGACCGGGCTGCGCAAGCTCCTGCGGTCCCAATAAGTTGTAACCTTTTTATCCCCGCCGTGTTGCGGGCACGTCTGTTGCAGACGCGGCGGGAGCGCCCCGGTCCCAGCTGGCCGGTATGCCGTCAGCTTCGCCTGCCGGGCAGGAGCGCTCTTCGGTGTCGGGGGGGGGGATTACTCCGCGCCCTGTGAACGGCTTTATTCCGTGGAGGAATGGATGTGCTAATCCTCAGATCGAAAGCAGAGAGTTTCAAAAGTGTACGAGGTATTGGCGTAGTGGGGAATAACGTTTCATTTCAAGCTGAAGGTGGATGCGTTCGTGCTCCACGCATATGGAAACGCTCAGGTAAACGGTTTGTTTTAATATTGAATTTTTGGTAGATTAAATTTAATCTGTTTTATTTGTACTTTTCTGCAGTTACCTTGCTGGATTCCAGATCAGTTCAGGGAGAACTGGGGTGGATAGCAAGTCCCCTGGAAGGAGGGGTAAGTTTTAAACCGCTATCTGATCAAAAGGGTAAAGGGGGTGATTAGTAACTTTCAGAGAGTCCTAATGGCTCGATTATTGTTGATTGTGGCGAGAAGGTCAGATTTCTTCCCTGGTTTACCCAATGAATTACTCTTTGTTGAAGAAACTCTATACTCCCTTTGGATAGTTCTGTCATGGAAGAAGTGGAAACCAAAAGGGCAGAAAAGAGGTTTCAGAATTAGGAGATTGGTTGAGGCATGGGCTTAGCTGCCTATTTAAAACTGAAATACCAACAAGAAATGTGATCTGGCAATTGAACTGGCATTCTTGACTGTAATTATTGTATCTATAGGCTGTCTTGGCTGGGAGATGTTCAGGGCAATTGATGTTCTATTTCTGGATGAAGGGGTAGGGATCAATATACAAGAGAGACCTTTTGGTGTGGTGGGACAGTTGTCCTGTTTTAGATTGTAAGCCTTGTATGTTTCAGTTTCTGACCAGATAAACTGAAACACCCAGTGCTTGATGGTGTTTCCTTGGAGCTTCTTTTTATGTACTTTTTCAAAGAGATAATTGTAAGAGAAGACTGCTTCAGTCCACTGCCTGATAGTGATGCAGTGACGCTGAGATTCACATATCCATCCTGGGGTTTTAGAGCCCTTTTGCCCAGTGGGCTGCAGGCCAGGTATATCTGCTGATTTAGTTTTGTGTTAATGGATGGGCACCCTCATCCTGTAAGGTGCCTGTGACCTCTGTGGAGAAGCTCCTGAGAACACTGGAGTTGGTGGGGTCTGGTGGAGACTGTACTTTGTGGGATCTCATGTTTTGGGTTTGTTTTTTTTTTTTTTTTTTTTTTTTTGTTTGTTTTTATTTTTAATAAGCAATTAGAAAGGCTTTTCCTTCAAGTGAACAGTTTCAGAAAAATGCCAGCAATGCACACTAAATATTAATATAAAGAAGCCCATCTCAAATCCTTTAAATATTAAATGAATAAAACATCTTTGTATGCTTGAGAAGTAACTAAGTCAAAACTGACTAAAAAATTAAAGTGCTGAAAGATCAGGCCCTGCTCACAACAAAGCAGTGGATTCTTCAGGAAACCTACAAATTTACTGTTTTGTGTGTGTTCCCACTTGTAATTAGCAGAAGCAGAGCTAAGGAAACAGAAGTGAGTGGAAGGAATCCAACGTTGCATCGGCTGGTGATGCATTATGCATAAGCTCTGAATAACCATAACATGGGAGAATGGGGGATTGTTTTGCTCCCCCATTGTTGTTCTGAGTGAACTTGACTACAGTCCTGGCTTGTGCTCTGCCTGAGCACACTGTGCTGTCACCGAGGCTCGATTTTCTCGGTTTTTCAAAGAGTGGGGAGGTGATTGGCAGGCCTCTAGCATCGCCCACAGTGCACATTTACTGCTGATTGCAGGCAATTGCCCTCATCCTTTGACAGTGTGGGAAGGTACAGCTCTATCTCAGTGAGAGTCGGGCTTCCTTGTTAATCCTGTACCCTGGAAAGGTCAGATAATGAGATGGGGTCTTTCATACAGCTCTCGAAGTGGTATCTACACTGTGTATTAAAACGGGACCTAAAATAAAAGTTTTAAGAAGTTGGTAGTAGAATTGATGATCAGAGGACAACTGTGTATTATTAATGGCTGTTGGATTCCCCCTTTTTCCCTATGCTTTCTCTGAAAGTGCCATGCGAGCTTGAGAAGGAAATGTGTGCTCTTATTGTGGATGTGACTCGTTTCACTAAACCTACATATGTGTGTTCTATTTTTAAGCCAGTAGTGAAAAATTTAAGAGTACATGGTTTGTCTCTGAGATACAGTGCTTGGAAAGCATTTATTCAAACTTCATATGCTGCAGATTTATTTCAAGCAGCAGAAATGGACTCCTTTATGTTCCTGGGAAGATTCTGTCATTTGGTGCTGATTTTTCTTCAACTGTGTGTACCTTTTTGTTCATAAAAAAAAGGCATTATTCTAGATATACACCACACAGTTTCCGAGGTGAAAGGACTGTGTGGATAGGAAGGGCTGGAGATAAATATAGTCATTTAGGAGTGATTACCAGTAACCAAATATATAGTAGCCCTGGAGGAATTAATGAATTGCATTGTAAATGTAATTAATGATTTACTTTTGCATTTCACAGTTAAAAAGTAGGTTTTGTGCCAGAATGTTTTATTTTCCATCATTTAAGTATGAGGAAACTTTAATTACAAAAACTAATTTCAACTTGAAAACAGAAAGTTACAGCTTTGTCCATATATTTAGAGTTACAAATGTAACAAACATGGGGCTGTAGTTACTTTTGTCTCTGGCAGTAAGACACATAATGTGTGTTCATGAAATAAGAAACCTAGCCCTATATATTTATATTTTTATTAAGAGGCAGGAGTTTGTTGAGAACCTGATCTGAAACTTGATGTTTTTAGTTGTAGTCTGTCCACTGACCTCAGCGGTCTCTTTATTGAATCCTCTAGCAGCATCCTCCTTTGTGTAAATATGCTAAAGGAAATCCCATCAACAAGTATTATTTCCTTCTGCTTCTTCCTTTCTCTTGTACCACACACAATATAGGTAGTGTAGACAGTCTGAAGATAAGCAGAATGGAAAGTGATGGATCATAAAGACAATATTGTAACAGTAAACCAGCTTTGTGGCAGATGTAAATTAAACAACACTGTTGTCTTATTAACACCTTGTTACACTTGCACTGATAGATGACATTTCAAGATTTATTTTTTCCTTTTCTGTGGAAAGGAGTGACATGCTGGGTATTGATTCTGCCCTGCTTCATTTTAATTTGCAGTTATCTCTAGGCAGCAAATAAAATATTACTCTTTCTGCTCCTAGTGACTCATGGTGCTAACTACTGTCATTCTATAAACGGATTCAGCTAAGCTGGAATCTTTTTAAGTAAAAATCACTTGCATAAGAGCAATCCTTGTGAGAAGAATGCAGGATATTATACAAGAAGCCCCTTAATGTTAAGAAGACTTCTGTTTATCAAAGCCATGGCTTCAGTAGTAGTGAAAAGCACTTCTGGGGAGTCTCTTTAAAGTTACTGCTGCTTTCCAAGGATAATTTTGTATGGTTCATTTTATTGCCTGCAAACCCAGAGAGTGTATCATTGTCTAATATATTTATATATATATTCTTTTTTTAAGAAGGCTTTTTTCTGATACTCAAGTGCTATGCTGGGAAGACATCTCTCCCCAGTGCCCCTTCCTCTTCTCTCTCTATCAGGAGAGCTCTGTGATAAACTTTCTTCTGTCTATGATAATCCTTGAAACAATTTTTTTTTCAAAGCTATTGGTTATGTGTGCTTTCCTTTTTTAAGTTAATTATACTGAACTATTGAATTAGGGTCAGATCTCTTCTTCTGATACCTTCTTTGGAGTGCCTGTATTGTTGTTTCCTAATTATATTGCCCTTTAATTTGACACTTATGAAGGTGCCTGAACTTGATTTGAGGCCATTGCCTGCAAGGTCCATGCATTACCTGCCTCATCTGCTGTTGATTCTGTAAAGTGCCATGCATAGTCCTTACCTAGGCAAGGGTGCTATGGACAAAACTGCAGTGCAGATAAACGTAGCTGGTTGGTAGAACATTCCTGGATTGGTTCAAAGGGCCTTTAAAACGCATGCTTGCTCCTCGAGGTGTTACTTGATTTGGAGCTTGTTTCTCCTGAAAAGATTCATTTAATGTCCAAGTAGTTAATGTCTACTGGCTGTGACTTGATCTGCCTGGTTGTTTGCTTGTTTGTTTTCCTGCAATGGAAAAATTATGGTTTCCCCCTTAGTTGTGGAAGTACAGATTCTGTTTGCTGTGAAGCTCTGTTGTTCCTTTTAATATTGATGTATTATTCTTTCCCTTTCCCTTTTTGCAGTGGGAAGAAGTGAGCATTATGGATGAGAAGAACACTCCGATCCGCACCTATCAAGTCTGCAATGTGATGGAGCCCAGTCAGAATAATTGGTTACGAACTGATTGGATTCCCCGTGAGGGGGCTCAAAGGGTATATATTGAAATCAAGTTCACGCTAAGAGACTGCAACAGCCTGCCAGGTGTCATGGGAACTTGCAAAGAGACATTCAACCTTTATTACTATGAATCAAACAATGATAAGGAGCGTTTCATTCGAGAGAGCCAGTTTGCCAAGATTGACACCATTGCTGCTGATGAGAGCTTCACCCAAGTGGACATTGGTGACAGGATCATGAAGCTGAATACAGAGATACGGGATGTCGGACCACTCAGCAAGAAAGGGTTTTACTTGGCTTTTCAGGATGTTGGTGCCTGCATCGCTTTGGTGTCTGTTCGTGTCTTCTATAAGAAGTGCCCATTGACAGTTCGAAACCTGGCGCAGTTTCCAGACACCATTACTGGGGCTGATACATCCTCTCTGGTGGAGGTTCGTGGCTCCTGTGTCAACAACTCTGAAGAGAAGGATGTGCCAAAAATGTACTGTGGGGCAGATGGTGAATGGCTGGTGCCCATTGGCAATTGTCTGTGCAACGCTGGCTATGAAGAAAGTAACGGTGAATGCCAAGGTAAGATGAGCCATACTGTACTCTTCATTAAGGCTTAGTTGAATGCATAATTGAATTGGAGATGAGAGTAAATGGAGTAAAGCCAGTAATTAGCAGCCCCTGTGGGATGTGGTGGGACTGAGGAGTTTAATGAAGCCCAAGCGCTCCAGGTGGCAGGGCTAGGAATTATATAATGCAAAACAAATGATTCTGCCATAACAGGCAGAAGGCGAAACTCATTTTCTAGCAGGCACCTAAATTTGATTTGGCTCACAATAATCACCAAAATGTGAATGGCTGCAAAGCAGGGCAGTCAAGCTACCATTGTTTAAACAAGACAAATCTCTCAAGTTTTATCTGAAGTGAACTTTGTTAAGCACAGGGAATTCTGGCAAGCTCTCATCTGGATAATGCAGTGGGGTAAGAACCAGTGGGGGGAGGGAGGGGAAACAGGAGTCTTAGCTGGATTACTTTCCCACTTTGGGAAGGGGAAGTCTTTGGTGTTTTACTTGTTGCAAATTTTTTAGCACTAAATACCCTTTGATATTTGACACTGCTGCCTTTGTTAAATATTTTCATTTCTCAGAGAGTCTCTATTGTCAGCTTAATAATAGAGGTGCTAGGATACTCTTAGAAATGCTAAAAGTCTCCACCCCACCCTCCCATACACCATCCTGTGTGCTGCAGAATTGGGGATTAAAGTCTGTATAAAAGGCAGATTATCCTAAAAAGAAAATAACTCAATACCTATGTTCTTTTCACCTCCCCTTTCTGGAAAAAGAAGCTGTAAAAGGCTGGGGAAGGAGAGGAGGAAGTTTATAAATAAAATATCTTTAGCTTCAGCTTCTAAACTCTTGCTCATGTAAGCATAAACCTAGATCAAATTTAAATGGATTCTTGCACAGGTCAGTGGGCTTAATTTTGCTGGGTGCTGAACTGAAGGTGCTCAACTCCTTAGTGGATTTGGAAGCATGTCTTTGGAAAATTCTTTGGAGCCAGATTTTGCTTTATATCATCTTGGTGTATTTTTCACTAGGTCATTTTCTGTCCCTCTTGAGGTGGAAAGCAAGATAGCAGAGCCAAGTAACTGCTGGCTTTTGTGCTAGGCTCCTAAGAGGACAGTGTCTTTTGAATGTACTACTTGATTTAAGTGATAATTTACAGTTGGTATGAAATTCATTATTATGCATTGAAATTAAGCTTTGGCAAGACAGAAGTGCTAACTATGAATTTCAGCTTTAATTTGTGTTTATTTTTTGCTATATGGAAAAAGCCAAAGTGTGCCATATTGGCAACAAAATTACCATGGGCTGTAGGGATGGCTCAAAGATGAGCATGCTGGCAGGGCATACTGTTTGGGCTAAATTACTCTGGGGTGTGTTTCTGAATCCCACGGGATGGACACTTAAAAACCTGTGTGTTGTTAAACTTGTGAACCTGTGGCTGTGGTACTGACTGGGTGGTGCTGGGGGGAGCTGTTAATGACTGGGGAGATGCTCTTACATTCTTGATGTCAAGAAGGTTTGCCTGGAAGTTAACTTTACATCCTGAATGGAGGGAAGTGGAGTAGCGGGGAGCATCTTTATTTATTGTATGGAGATTATTCTGCCTTCTCCGAGAAGCCTACCAGGTCAGTACTGGGTCACTCTGACTGACAGTTCTATAACTTTTTGCTGTCAGGGGCCCAGACATGATGAGCTAATTGCTGAACAAGGGGAAATCTCCTGAGGTTTTTGCAGGTGGGCAGTGGTCATAAGTGGGATGCTTTTTGTTAACTTATTTTTGTGGTGTTGAACTAGCCCTTGGGGTATGGATGTCAGCTCAACTACCAGCTCTCAGCTGCAAGGAGGTTTGGGCCTAGGAAACCTAATTTTCATGTTTTCTAAGTAAAATGAAGATGAGGTGATGCGGTATTTACAAAGGAGATAGAAATGTTCTGTTGCTTGGGCTTTCCAGAGTGACGTTGGCTTATACTAGTCATTTTGAGAGGATCTGAGCCAGTGTGTAATTTGAAAGCACTAAACACATTTCATCAGCGGTTATTTGTGGTTTCCTTTTCTCACATTTGCCATTCTCCAGCCAGAACAGTTTTGAGGGAAGCTCGTCTTCATGAATTCGTGAAGTTTACCAGAACTATGCAGCTCACTCTCTGGTTTCCAGCGGAGCCGCTAAAGCAGTTTGGCCTTTGACACTGCTGAATGAGCCTTCCCCTTTTCTTTCCCCACTCAACTTCATAGTTCAGTGAATGTTCTGCTCTGGCAGGTTTCTGGAGGGGAGGAGGAGGATGAAGTGAGGAGGATTCCTGCAGTTTTGGTACAGAGGATTGGGGATGGGGGGAGAGACTCTGAGTTTGGAAAAGGCTGCAAGAGGGTGGCAGGCTGGGACTGGAGCTGGTGAGGAGGTTCCACCTCAATTGTTTTTCAGTAGGTTGACTGTGGCAGGACAAATACAAGGGAAGGTCAGAGGTTGTCAGTTTCCTCATCCATCTTCCCCTGTGATCCTAGGGTCAGAGTTTGAATTAAGATCTTAAATGTTTGACAAAACCTCAGTGGGCAGAAATACTTCAGGATTGGGGCTTTGCAGTTGTTGGGAGATCCATGGGAGATGTGAGACTCCTGTGCTCTCCTGGGGCTTGCCCTTGCCATACAGCGCTGGGATGGACCAGCTGGCACTTGTATTACCCTAAAAGCTGCTTCAAGTTTGCTCAACCTTCTGATTCTTAAATAATACATTTTCCTTGAGCAGCTTTTGCTTAATTTCTGATGCATGTGGGAAGCATAATGGGAAGCCACTTCACATCTAAAGTGGTTCTTGCAGTGGGAGCTAATGACACTCTGACCTTGAAGAGGGTTTGTAAAAAATCAAGTTGGTGGTATGGAGGTGTTGGAATCTTCTTCCTCTGACTGCTATTTTTTCCAGCTGACTTTATTGATAATGATTGTCTTACTTAGCATGCGTGCATGTGTGTGTGTATGCAAAAACTCAGGGCAGGAAGGGAAAGGAGCCAAGTATTTGATCTGTATTTATTTGGGAAGCTCCACAGGTGTGTCACAGGAGAGGTTATGAAAAATTGGTCCCAATCTGTAGAATTATTATGTGAGCACTCATTCTTTCCTCATAGCTGATTTTGTAGCTGTGTACTTGATGTTAAAAATCCAACAACTTGCTATTGCTTTTTTTTGTTTATTGCTATTTATTCTTCACCAAATTTCCTGTGTCAATGGCTATCATTTTAGGAGAGTATAAATGTGGAACATTGTCCATCCCCAGCTAGTGGCACATCTCAAGGCTAAGGTAATTAGTGCTTTAGGGCAAAGTTGAGACATAAAGTAATTTTAAACTTCTCTTTTATGCATCATTGTTATGTAAATTGTTTTGTTACATACTGACATAATGTGGCTTGGATTTAACTATGGTTTCCTTATGGTAAAACACGTATCTTTTTAACTCGGAGGAGGAGGGGGAAAACAAGCAGGAAGGAAGACAGATTAAAGAAGCAATAGACTGTAGCCATCTGTGACGATTTTGATGCTGTGAAATTACAAATCTCAATTTTAGACCTGCCATTTAGTATAAATATGTGAGACAGTTGAGATTTTTTACTGTGATATTGTAAAGGCTATGAGAGCCAACAGCTTTGTCTTCATCTACACTTGCTTTTTAGAGTTGTGAATTGGCCAATTGGCAGAAAATCCAGTGTCATTTAAAATATAGCTCAGTCCTGGTTTCATATCACTGCTGTTTTTAGAATTTTTCTTCAAACTTTGATAAGAGCATCCCTAAGAAGTAATAATTTGAATGATAAGATTCTTTTTATCTCGGAGGCTTTGAAGAGTGGCTGTGATCACTGAGAGCAGCAGTTCAGTGTACATCAGAAGGGTACAGTGTAATTATATAGTTTTGATTTTTATTTTTTTTTCTTTCTGTGATAAGAATTTTGGCTGGTGGGTTTTGTACGGGTGGGGAAATGAAGTAATTTGTATGTACTTTCCCGTTTTAGTCGGAGACAACTTTTTCATCAGCATAACACTGATGAACAGTCTGGCTGCACAAAAGGGTAATCAGAAGGGTGACTAAGACAGCACAAAATTGAGATTTCAGAAGGATTTTTTTTCAGGTTGATTATTTTTGGCGGGGGAAAAAAATGCACAGACTCAACATGTTATGTTTTAAAAGGAGCTGAGAAGACGGAAGCTACCAGGGAGAGCATGGGAGCCATACTGAAACACAGTCTGTCTGAGCCAAATTTAGTTGGTTCCCTTCTCTGCTGAAGGAGTGATTTTTGTTACGTTATGTTATGCTCTCATGTAGCTCAATAGATCTTCCAAGGGTTGCTCCCTCCGTGATTTTTGTACCACCTGGTGTGTTTCAAAATCTCCATTTAAACATTATTGCAGGCTTTGCATTGTTTTTCTCCTCCCTGGGCCCCTTAGAAGTCAAGCTACAGTTGTTGAGCAATTGTCCCTTCATGTATCCCTTGGAGAAAGGCTGGGATTGCTTCCTTCTGAATTCCTGACAAAATTTCTGCTGGTGCACAGGGGAGCAATATCTGGTCTTTATTCTGCATGTTACTACTAAAAAGCACAGTCCTTGGAATCAAAGCCAGATGAGCTGCTGTGGTGGTATGAATTTCGTGGCATGTCTGGGTGGACTTTTATGGGGCATATAGACCACCTTCTGTTTTTTGTGTGTGGTTTGTTTGGTTGCTTTGTTTTGTTTTAAGGGGGCAAAACAAAACTTTCCAGACAACTCATCTTGTGTGTGATGACTTCAGTATTTAAATCCCGGCTGGATGAGGGTTATTATCTGTCTAATAATATACTCCACTGAGCTTGGTCTTTATTGCACTTGTGAGAAGTCATTAAAGAAAAGCTCAACAGTACACTTCAGTCTCTTGAGACTGCCTCAAAAAGCCCCCTGAACTTGTGAGATAAGTATCTTATCTGGTTTCATTCTGTTATGCTGCATCCTTTTGATATGTTGCAAGGAGCAGGTGAGGTCACACAATTTTGTGAATCAGA